TATACTCATTGCTTTTTTAAACTGGTATTGCTATTATGTATTGTTTTTGAACATTCTTTAGTGCAATTTTCAATGAATAAAGTTATTAAAGAAAACGTTGTTATTTTCGCGATATATAAGAATATTTGAAAGAAATTAATCATAACTCGAAAACTAGAAATTATCAATAATTTTCAACATGATTCTAGGTTCAGCATTTTCAAATTACGCAGAAACAGTTAACATTTTCCCTAGTAGCAGAGAAATGTGTTTTGTTGCTGCCCTGTGTAGTCAATACCAGTTACTTGTGACGACAAACATCACTAAATTATTCACTTTTTACCACATTTGTTAAACCTCAAGTTATAGGATATGAGCTATACCGGTTACTGTTCAACAGATGTTTTTAGGGAAGTTGTTTTCACATTTAACTCTTATGAAATCTCTAGTGGGGATAACTTATTCAAATATTGATATAGTAACAAGGCTTCAAACACTTCATTTTTATGACGTACGTTGCACGTAACGAAGAGTTATATCGTAAAGAGGGCGCTCTGATTATTTAAGATATAGGAGCCCTATATAACCATCAGTATTAAGTGATGTAAGAACTTGTAATGATTTTTACTGTATTTTACCGAATTCATTAACAAGACTTAGATTATCTTCCGTATATAGATTATTATTCAGTTTCTTATAATAGCATGTAAAATAGAGAGAGCTGCTACCGAACACCACCTCTCTCTCTCTAGCTAGCTAGAACACGTTTCTTCTCTAAACACCATGACCAGAGTTTTTTCAGAGCGAAGAAACACGCTAGTTAACGAACCCGATAAAGGCCGGGCGTGGCTGATTGCTGTGGCTTGTTCCATCATTTCGTTTTTCTTATTCGGGATATTCAGATCATACGGGATATTATATCTAGAGATAATAACGACTTTTCAAACAACAAGAGCACAAGCTTCTTGGCCACACAGTCTTTGTGGAACCATCTTCAACCTTGTGGGTAAGAAGGATTAAAATCCGACATGTTTTACTACGTCTCTTACAGACTAGCCTCGTGAATAAATAGGTTAAAATTCGGTATGTTTTATTCTGCCTTTAATAGCTTCTTATGCTGACACCATAGTTAATATTAATTCTATAGGCTTTCCATTCCTGTATTAAAGGGACTGAAAGTTAATACTGGTGTGAAGTATATCAAGTCAGATAAATTCGTCTATTGTCCGTAACTGGACAAGTGTAACTTCGGTTTAAGTATAATGATAATATTTAAATACAATAAGGTTTTCAAATAGTTTCTGTGGTATTTATTTAAGAAACATAGATTTTGTACTTTTTGTTTCCGCCCTCTTGCATCGTACGCCATTTTAATAAACGACGCTGCTCATTTATTATAATAAGTTTATTCTTTTCATGATACTCAGCTTAAAGGTGATGTTTTTTGTTATTTCAATATAATTACTCCATTGAACACCACACATAAATTACACACATAACAGACCGAATCGACAATATTTAACTAAAAAAGTATCACGTAGTCAGTACACACACATTTACAAGTAAAGTAAAACCTTTTCGAAAAGTAAGTAAATATAGGGATCATCTCTACATTTACTTTATTTTTAGAAAAGTTTTTTCTTTACTTGTTTCTCGTTTTTTTTTAATGCAGTGTTTCAATAGACGTAGGAAAGTTGTACTTATAACGAAGTTCTAAATACAATGTGGTTCCAACTGTAATATTTATAGTTTATCTATTATTGGCTGGTAATTTATGTTTCACCCTGTACTTAAGCTTTTTAAAGGAACACCAAATTTCTCTATTATTAGATCATGTCACTGCCAATCTGTGATTTAAAGGTGTCTTTAGTTTCAAGAACGTTCTTTGCTTTATCCACAAGCTGCTAACATACTATATTAATGAGTTGAATTTTGTTTGCTGTGACACTTAAAGCTACATATTAGGATGTTAGTTGCTATATGACACACATTTTTATTTGCCAAAAATAATGGCTGATAAAATTTAGGATACATGATGGTTTACCAGTATTGTTTCTACCAAGAATCTGATGGACGTTATCTAGGCAGTTTATGTACACAGTGCCTTTATGTTTGATATTTTGGTAGACATACATTTTACTTTAAATATCGATCAATTAAATGATGAAAACAAAAACAAACTAGGTCCTTTGGTTCCAAAGTAATTAGAAGAAACAAAATCTATTTTCCATGTTAAAGACGAATCCAAGATAACCTTTGGTATACGTTTTGGGGGCCATCTTGAATATTTATGCTTCCCCAAAGGTGACAAAACGTCATTGGTTATGCTCGTATGGATCAAGTAATGTATGAAATGGGTTATTTAATCTTTCAAAAACCTAGAAATAATGGCCAAAATCACTGTTCTATCTCACAGAGAATTCAAGATATGACCATTTTTATTTCGTGGCAACCATCTTGGATATTTTAATTTGCTCAAGGATGATAAGATGGCGTCATTGACATCCTGAATCAGTACATCTGAAAGATATAAAACATCAAGCAACATTACGTGAACTATATTTATGGGTTTTCTGGTCTGCTGCCCTACTAGGTTGACCCAGCATAACCTTGGTGGATTTAAATAAAATAATAAGTGTGAGTATATAAGCCTCTGATGAAGAAAATTATTCCTATTCTGTAATTATACAATTAATACTGAGTCAACGATCACACCGTGTCAATCAAATGATTAATTATAATTTATGTTAAAATGTACTATAATGATAACTTTGAAAGATGGAAAGATTAGGTTATATAACGTAGCTAAGTTAATTTATAAAATCGGTTTTCATAAAATAATTGTGGTTAGTTTGTCGAAAGAACTTCTACTCAGAAGTTTATGGGTTAGTGCTCTAGCGTTATTTAAAATCTTCAAAATTATAGCAAGTTCTTGCAAATCTAATAAGCTGTGACAAGTTAAACTTTATAGTATGTTTTTGTTTTGGAACGTTTGTGTCTGGAAGTTGGAATTTACATCTCAAAAATTAAAATCCTCTATTTTATTATAAATCATGAAGGAAAATGGTTGATTATTAACACTAATGTTGAAATCGAAGGAAAATGGTTGATTAGTAACACTAATGTTGAAATCGAAGGAAAATGGTTGATTAGTAACATTAATGTTGAAATCGAAGGAACATGGTTGATTAGTAACACTAATGTTGAAATCGGAGGAAAATGGTTGATTAGTGTGTTACTAACCAACCATGTTCCTTCGATTTCAACATTAGTGTTAATAATCAACCATTTTCCTTCGATTTCAACATTAGTGTTACTAACCAACCATGTTCCTTCGATTTCAACATTAGTGTTAATAATCAACCATTTTCCTCCGATTTCAACATTAGTGTTAACTTGAAAAAAATCAACTAATGCATATGACGTCCACTGTCTCGATCTGAACATTAGTGTTACTGATCAACCATTTTCCTTCGATTTGAACATTACTGTTACTAATCAACCATTTTCCTTCGATTTCAACATTACTGTTACTAATCAACTATTTTCCTTCGATTTCAACATTAGTCAAGGAAGTACTAGATCTGTCGGGTAGATATGCTTAGCTATGTCAAGGAAGTACTAGATCTGTCGGGTAGATATGCTTAGCTAAGTCAAGGAAGTACTAGATCTGTCGGGTAGATATGCTTAGCTAAGTCAAGGAAGTACTAGATCTGTCGGGTAGATATGCTTAGCTATGTTCGGTACTGTTATGTCTTTTACATTTTATTATGTTATTTAATAATGTTTTTCGCATTGTTTTCAGAATGAGAGTACAGTCTTTGAGGGATGATACAGGAAAACTCATATCTAATGATTAAGGGATGGCTAAGTTATTAAATTATATTTTTTATTCAGTTTCTGCTGATGAAGATTTAAACAATATTCCTCATCCTGAACAGTTGCTAGATAAAAAGGGGATGGAACAAAATTATCACCTTAATCCTGAGCTCGTTAAGAAAAAATTGGGAAGTTTATAGAATAATAAAGCTCCTGGGATAGATACTATTTACCCAAACGTTTTGAAAGAGGTATTTCTTATAATCCTTGGATAGTGGCAGGGAGGTGGTAAAAATTGTCCCAGTAATTTTAGGTCTGTCTTACATCAGTGATAGGAATGTTTTTGAAAATCTGATCAATTTATTTAACAAAATATAAAAATTTTATAGATTTTTCAACGTGGTTTCACGAAGGGAAACTTTTTGTCTTACTAATATGTTGATATTCTTTGTTGATGAGGGTGTGGATTTTCAAAAAACATTTGATAAGGCGCCATGCAAAAGGCTTGTTTAAGAAAGTTATATCTGTAGGTGTAGAGGATAGGCTGGCTCATTGGATAAAACACTGGATAGATGGAAGAAAGCAGAGAGTTGTTATAAATGAAGTCCAATCAATATCATGAGTGGTGTACCTAATGATTTAATGTTAAGAATTTGGCTATAACGATCAGAGGAAAATTTTTCGTAGCCAAAATTTAACAACACTACATTCTGGAAAAAATATTTTACCTACATAGCTGTATATGAAGTAGCTGTATGTTTCTCAAGGTTTGCATCAAAGAATGAACAGATATAGATTTTCCATGAAATATAATTCTATTTTTGTAAATAATATAACTCTCCTAGACATACTTTCAAAGTCAGCCAATAACATATGTTAAATGAAATGACCCAATGGTTGTTAGAGGTGAACTGAAGAAAAATAAAAATACCGCATAATCAACCTTGTGACTGTTTATGTATTTGGACAAAAATAGAATTAAAAGATAAGCTAACGTTTGTCAAAATTGTAATATACATTGCTTGATGTGTTGTAAGATTGTTGTAGCCTTGACACACCAGTTCAACAGTGTAATGATATACATTGCTTGATGTGTTGTAAGATTGTTTGTAGTTAGACACTCTAATTCAACAGTGTAATAATAGATATTGCTTGATGTGTTGTAAGATTGTTGTAGCCTTGACACACCAGTTCAACAGTGTAATGATATACATTGCTTGATGTGTTTTAAGATTGTTTGTAGTTAGACACTCTAATTCAACAGTGTAATAATAGATATTGCTTGATGTGTTGTTACATTGTTTACAGAAATATATTCACTAGTTTCATCAAAAGTAAAACTTTCTGGGGATGTGTTGTAAGATTGTTGTAGCCTTGACACACCAGTTCAACAGTGTAATAAGCAATATTTATTATTACACTGTTGAATTAGAGTGTCTAACTACAAACAATCTTACAACACATCAAGCAATGTATATCATTACACTGTTGAACTGGTGTGTCAAAGCTACAACAATCTTACAACACATCAAGCAATGTATATCATTACACTGTTGAACTGGTGTGTCAAGACTACAAACAATGTAACAACACATCAAGCAATATCTATTATTACACTGTTGAATTAGAGTGTCTAACTACAAACAATCTTAAAACACATCAAGCAATGTATATCATTACACTGTTGAACTGGTGTGTCAAGGCTACAACAATCTTACAACACATCAAGCAATGTATATTATTACACTGTTGAACTGGTGTGTCAAGGCTACAACAATCTTACAACACAGCAAGCAATGTATATCATTACACTGTTGAACTGGTGTGTCAAGGCTACAACAATCTTACAACACAGCAAGCAATGTATATCATTACACTGTTGAACTGGTGTGTCAAGGCTACAAACATGTGAGACATGTGCTATTGTTACATTGGTGCATTAGAGCAGTGTTTCCCAACCTGGGCGGTGCCGACCTCTAGTGGTAGTTTTTAAAATTCAGGGGGCAGTAACTTTGAGTGGCAGAAAGGTAGCCGACAGAGTTTCAAAATCATATTTGTTAAAATTAAACCATAATAATTGACGGATCTTTTCTGTTTCATCATGCACTGTGTATAAAAAAATGTATAAAAGATATAAAAATATTTCTTGTCATTTCTCCAAATCTTAATGAAAATTGTTGAAATTAGCATTAAAAACTACATTCAAAAATATATATTCTTTTCTATTTGAACTCGGTGCATGAAACAAAAAACATCCGAAGTGACTATTATTGTGTTAGAATTTTCATTTTAGTAAAAGGTGGTCTAAAAACTTATTAGAAGGGAGTATGAGCGCTCGTTGTTTGCTGAAGAGGACGCTGCGTCGAAAAAGGTTGGAAAACACTGTATTAGTGTACAGTTGATACAGTTTTAGAACACGTGAGGCAATGATTATAACTACAAGAGATGACGCTATGTCTGTTATTACACGTTGGATTAGAGCAGTGGTTCCCAACCTGTGGTCCTCGGACCCCTGGGGGTCAGCGAAGATAATACCATCTCATCAAACAAGTAAGTTTTTAAATTCTGCTGTTCTTTTAATTGGACACTCAGTTATATATGTCTTTTATTTGATAGTGAAAAATGGAAAAACAAGTTAATTATTAGTAAGATACATGGGGGGTCCTGAAATAGTTGGGAATATTATCATATGTAAAGCAATGCCTATTATCTCTCGTTGGATTAGAATGTCAAGGCTACAAGCAATGTTACAACATGTGGTACATTTTCTATTATTACATTGTTGGATTAATATGTTAAGGTTCCAAACAATATTACAACATGTGAGGCTATGTCTATGATTAGATTGTTGGATTAGTGTAAAGGCTACAAACAATGTAACAACATGTGAGGAAAAGTTTATGATTACATTGTTGGATTATAGTGTAAAGGCTACAAACAATGTTACAACATGTGAGGAAAAGTTTATGATTACATTGTTGGATTAGTGTAAAGGCTACAAACAATGTAACAAGATGTGAGGAAAAGTTTATGATTACATTGTTGGATTAGTGTAAAGGCTACAAACAATGTAACAAGATGTG